CGGGTGAAAGAATGGAAGCTAGACCAGAGAGATGCGACGAATGGGTAATTCACTTTTCGTTAGAAGTCCAGAGCAATTAAAGCGCCGCGTAGACGAGCGTACGGCTAAATTGATACGGCAACTTTCAAAACTGCTTCAGTAGGGGTGGTTCGGGGAGCAAAATGCTTTCACGAGGGCACTAGGAGGTTGCCATATTACAGGACATCTTTTATTCAAATTCAGTGTGAGCAGTAGCACCAAACCTACACCGCACCGGCACGCCAGATGGAAAAAATGTTGTATAAAGACCAACATTCTTGTGGGGGAGAGGGAGGGGCGGGGGACTGGCTGGCATGGACTGGCATGGAGTGGAGTGCCAGGACTGGCATGGCCAGCCCTGGCACTCCTAAGAAACGCCGGTACTGATTCAGTAGCACCGTCCGCAATTTTGGTTAAATGTGTTTGTTTTTGTAGCTCAGGGCCTCGACCAAAATAACATTGCCTTCACGGAGATAGTGAGGGTAGGAAAGCTACGGCATAATCCGATCTCTCATTAAAATCAGGGGCTTGGATAGGCTCGTGCTGTTCACACCCCTTGAGAGCATTTTAGTCGTTTAAGTCGAATAGATGCATTAATTTTGAATTGATACCTGTGTTGACATGAACAACTAACGGTTTTCGTATTCTTTGGTAAAACAAAGAGGGGCTGTATTGCTTTACGAACCACCCATTGCTTTACAAGCGCCCAGACAATGCTATTGGGCCAAGCTATATAAAGTTTCCACGGCCTCTACACCCAAGCAACAATGTTACGGAAAGGTGCATTCAAATTCTAGTTACAGGACACAGACCACATCAATGCATTCCTGTTCACACACCCCACACAAAGGTGCACTCAGGTGACGTCACTGTGCCGCTGGGCCCACCCGATTGTTTCTCAATCCTACGTAACATCCAAACTTTGTTTCTTTCGCGTTGAGTCAGCTAATAGCTCGCTTTTCCTTCCAATGCGGATGTGAGGACGTCGATATGTTCTCGGCCCAAATTCGTCGGCTCTCGTCTATGTCATGAGGTTTGCTCCCGTCAGTGGGGTTGAGAAATGAGCCGCTAAATGTTAGTTTGGCTAGGATGACGTTAAGTACGGATAGTATCTCAGGAAAAGATGCGTATAATTACGTTGACTATATGTAGGCACTTTTTGGCATCTTAATGAAAGCATCAATGAAAGCCCAACCTATGTCAGGATTTCTTTTGTAGATCAAAAACTTATTTTTTAGTCAGCTCACAAACATAAAAAGCCATTTGACCGCCTTTCCACGGTTTTCATATTTTTCAACATGACGGTGGTAAGCAGCCACGTGGTATTGCATTGTTAGTGGTAGCTTGTAACAAAATAGTTATTCAAGGTCTCACCATGAAAGATACTACTACTAAAAAGTGCCTTCGAAATCTTGGAATACGAAGCAAGCCTGTTTATCAATTTTAAAAGAGGTTCCCGCCTGCTTCGCTGCGCGGAAAGGCGACTCTATTAGCGGAGGTAGCTCCTGTGTATCAAAGGCGTAACGTTGACTCGTGTCTCAACAGCATGTTTGTATGTATGTATATACATACAAACATGCATACATATATATATATATATATATATATATATATACACATCCCTAAATTCATTTCCAATCTGCCGGCACTCACAGATCACTCAAACACACTGCCCGTGCAACCGCGGTTTTGCACACTCTAGACATGGAACATATATAATCTATTTGTGGTCCATGCTTGCTGGCATCTCCATTTGTTGCAAAGCGTTCGCTTAGTATTTTTTCTTAAATTTCTGCATCTGTATCAATTAAAAGTCTCATAGTTGGCGAAATGCTATTTTCATCGTTGCTAGAGCTTTGAAATATGTGTTCAACGGCTCTATCTTGGCACATCTTGTTTCCCCTACAGGCGCAAGAAGTGTTTCCCTGCTAAATACCAAAACACTCCCTCTTTTTGCGCGCGCTACGGCCGACGCCAGGACGGGTGTCAGTTTATCTCAAGGTCGTCACGAATGTTGAACCCGTAATATATGCAAATTTCAAGACAATCCACACAAGCATCTGCGCTCTGCGTCCGGCGAGGGAAACGCGGTCATACAGACGGGCTGGCAGGCAGACAGACAGGCTGCTGAATATAATACGTGATATAAAGGTTTGGCGTGGCAGAGAGACTGAGCTAATATTTTTCCTCGCATTTTTGTGCCGACCGCCGCCCATGAACATGGCGGAATATTACATAGCCATCGCTCGTGCTCGCTACCATTTCGGGTAATGGGAAACATGCACAGTTTGCTATTTATTGTTATCTTTGCACGCGTTCAACCTTCTTAGTAACGTGGTTGTGAAACAGTTCAGCATAAATGGTTCCTCAAAGTAACATGAAGAATTAATGACATCTGGCAATTAAGCTCTTTTGACCCTATTCTTGAACAATGGGTCATTCGCACAGTATGCATCTGCAGGAAGCCGCATCAGACAGGGTACTCCTTGTAAGACAAAGATCCTTAAGCGCTCGATTCTAGATTATTGCATAACTCCAGGGATTGTCTAAAATCATATGTGAGTGTATAACATTGACAGCAAATTATATTCTAAGTCCTGCTGTTAGTGAAAAGATATGAGGCTCAACATTAAAAACCAAGTACTGATAAACATATTTAAGAATATAGAGATACATAGACCAGCCACGAGGCATATGGTATTTATCGTGTTTGAGCATTAAGATGCCACAAATGTCCAAAATTCACCACAGTTAATCTGCGCCAAATTGCTGCCTTCACGGCGCATTATTCCACATCTGTTACGTAACTCCCGGTTCTGGCGCCGCTGACGCTCGAGTACATCCAGTCACCAGGCTTCCCCAGCGCACCACCCTGTCGGGGCTCCCACCAGTCACGAGGCTTCCCCAGCGCACCACCCTGTCGGGGCTCCCACCAGTCACCAGGCTTCCCCAGCCCACCACCCTGTCGGAGTTCCCACCAGTCACGAGGCTTCCCCAGCCCACCACCCTGTCGGGGCTCCCACCGGTCACCAGGCTTCCCCAGCCCACCACCCTGTCGGGGCTCCCACCAGTCACCAGGCTTCCCCAGCGCACCACCCTGTCGGGGCTCCCACCAGTCACGAGGCTTCCCCAGCCCACCACCCTGTCGGGGCTCCCACCAGTCACCAGGCTTCCTCAGCGCACCACCCTGTCGGGGCTCCCACCAGTCACGAAGCTTCCCCAGCGCACCACCCTGTCGGGGCTCCCACCAGTCACCAGGCTTCCTCAGCGCACCACCCTGTCGGGGCTCCCACCAGTCACGAGGCTTCCTCAGCCCACCACCCTGTCGGGGCTCCCACCGGTCACCAGGCTTCCCCAGCCCACCACCCTGTCGGGGCTCCCACCAGTCACCAGGCTTCCCCAGCGCACCACCCTGTCGGGGCTCCCACCAGTCACGAGGCTTCCCCAGCCCACCACCCTGTCGCGGCTCCCACCAGTCACGAGGCTTCCCCAGCCCACCACCCTGTCGGGGCTCCCACCAGTCACCAGGCTTTCCCCGCGCACCACCCTGTCGGGGCTCCCACCAGTCACCAGGCTTCCCCAGCACACCACACCGTCGAGACTGCCATCATGCCCGGCCGCCAGCAGCCATGTGCCCGGCCCGGCGGCGGCGGCTGTGGCAGCGGCGCGGCGGCGGCGGCCGGAGCGTTCGCACGCCGCACCGGTCCGCTGCGCCGGCAGCCTGACCCACTGAGCCAAAACAGCGCCGGCCGGCCGCCGCCGCCGCCGAGTCGCACGGCAGGCCGCCGACGGCCGAGCCGCGGCCGTCGGCGGCTCACCGCGGTGTGGTAATGCGGTGGCGCCACGGAGCGCAAACCGTGAACTACGATGTCGTGTGGCGTTTGTGTTGTCTGAAATGTGTTGAATTACACGGACAATGCCAAGTTTTTAGCGCAGGCCACCGGACGTGTTTTTGTGACCCCTGACCCCGTGACGCCACATTGTCGTCGCGTATGTCACGTTAATGGTGATCGTAGTCGCGAGACATGCCCACTTTCGGGACGGCACCATGCGCTCATTTGGCCTCCCGGTGCGTTGAGGTCTTCGCTAGGGCGGGCTGGACGTTGCAGTCTCTGATACTGACCGGCAGGTGTTGTAGTCTTTTGTACTGTGTGAGTGGAAATTCATGTCCCGCGCAAACAGATAAGAATCGAGGAAACGGATTTGCGGAGCTGTCGTGGGGTGGCTAGGCAAAATCCCTGATACCATCTAGCAGTCATCTGGTAAAAATAGCAGTGGATAACAACCGGGCCTAAAATGGAGGCATTTTGAAGATTCGCAAACCAACCAGCCAACGTGCGTACTCAACTCCCACTAGAAACAATCACCCTGTCTAATGTTGTATTGCCATGGTGCAGCTCAAGCTGAAGCTGAAGCTGAAGTTTTAAAAATATTTTTACAGTGTTTTATTGCATCGATTCAGTCATTTCCTTCGAAGACGTATTGGAGTTGCATTATTTTTCAGCATGGACGGAGAATGCCTTAAGACAGATGTGACAGCGACCACACCAACTTACATCAAACTTACTCTTGTTCTCATGTTTTATCATTCAAAGTGCAATTTCTGGCATGTTTTCATCACAACCTCTCAGCATCCTCCATTGGTGGCTTCATGTTGTTCGGATACGCGTGCAACTGTCAAGTCAGGCTAGGTCCGACTTACTTTCCGCCGATATTTGCCATTGCCTCCAAGCAAACAGCTCTCCCAGTGGCTAACAAATACATCTACGGTATAGCCGTGAAGTTCAAAGCCACGGAAATGCCTAAAAATATGCCAAAATAATATTGAAACATTTGGTTTCCGAGTAAAGCAGCGTAGGCCAAAACTTGCAAAGATCAATCACCCGACAGCTTAACAGAAGGATAGCAGGGCACTAAAAAAATAAATAATGCCATGAAGCTCACATGCTCATCCTTACTAGCCAACGTGCACGGGCTCTTACTTGCAATCAGTCCGGTGGCTGAGGTGGGTCGCGGCTGTGGCCTCAGCTCTTGCTCTCGCGTCGCTTCCTCGGTCTTCTTGGCCTGCTTGGGCCGGGTGGCCAGGTCCTCCCTCTGGGCCGCATCACTGGCCGACACCGGCTCCGGCTCCGGCTCCGGCTCCGGCCCCGGCCCCGGCCCCGGATCAGCGCTCGGCTCGAACCGCATTAGTTCCTCGCCCACCATGTCCTGCTCGACACCACTGTCCACGACGGCGTCGGCCGCCTCACCGTCGCCAGAAGCCTCCACGACCTGCTCCGCGGCCGTCAGTCCGACCGGCAACAGCAGCAGCAACAGCAGCGGCAGCGCCGCCCGGCGAAGCGCCATGACCTCTCGCGACCGGAGAGCGGGGCCCACTGACGTGGTCCACCTGAGTGCCGACCACCGCGCCTCGGCAGCCGCTCGCCGCTGGGCCGTGACGAGCTGGCGCCCACCTGACGGACCGTCGCCGCTGGCGCTCCGCCCTGTCTGATGGATTGTCGCCGACAGCTCCGCAGCCCGGCCGGGACCGATCCACGCAGGAGCTGTGCCGGATCTCCAGTGGACGCTAGCGACACAGACGGATGGTTAGATCCCGCAGGTGGAGGTGCGCAGCCGCTCCTGAGGTTAGATTTTAGTCCCCTGTACGATGCCGCACCTGAGGCTACTGCCCTCGTGTTGCCTCATACCCAGTGACCTCCGCGCAGCAGTTGTTTGGCCGGAGCTCCCTTCACCCGCCGCACCGTCTAGCAAACGTCTCTCGACACGGCACCGTCGTCGTCGTCAGCGATGCCCCAGTGGCGGCCCCAGCAGCGGCCCCAGTGATCGCCCCCTGACGGCGCCCCGTCCGACCCGGAAGCCGACTCACCTGCCGTACGGTGCGCCGTCCGCCGCCGCCGCGCCGCGCCGTGTGACCCGCCGCCCGGCGCCGCGGCCGGTCGGCCCGCCCGCGTCCCGTTAGCCGCCCCGGGGCGCCGCTGGCCGCGCCCGTGCCGCAACGCGCCGGTCAGTGACTTTCACTTTTTGCCGCGCTCCGTGCACCCGCCGCGGGCGACTGGGTCGTGACCTGCCGTCCCGACATTCGCACCGCACGGGCGGCGGTGGGTGGGGTCGCCAGGCAGCTCCGAGGGGTCGCAAGCTCGACTGTTTTTTTTAGATGGATGTCAAGGGCTCGAAGGACACTATCCTCTGGCAAGGAGCTTTTTGTCTTATGTTGAGGCGTTTGATGCTCTTCTTTGCCATAGATCGATATTGTTTTTCTGTCTCTGCCACTGAACTCTGAATGGGATTTCACATATGGTTAACAGGAAATGCGCATACAATCCCGTTATCATCTCAGAATGGTTTCATCTGCAGATATTGGTTTTATGCTGGCCGATGTCCGACCGAAGCTTAAATCTGCTTGTTTCCGATGAAGTGGATGTGGTGAAAGCTGTCTACTAAACTCTGACCGATGCATGCAACTCCGAGCTTTGGATGAGTGTCCAAGGCTTGATATTTACTTGGGTTGGTAGACGTAAAAAAGGACCGACTCTGGGGTCAACAGGGCATTGCTCGTGCTAACCGCATGCGCCCGCTTTGTTACACCCTGATCATGCGTATTCCTTTCGATGAGCATATATAATCATCACCGCTTAAACGCTCTCAGCCTCCTAGCCAATTCATTCGTGCCATCTTATGTAAAAAGAACGGCAATGACATTGAGTTTAACATCAGGTTTTTACCACCTCCAGGTCCAGGGTAAACGTGGCGTAGTTAACAGCATTGCCTGTCTTGTGCCAGGAACGTTGTCTATCACGACAAAAAAGAAAAGTCGGCTTTCAGCCGTGAAAGAATGGCTAATCTTCCTCGCGTCTGTCGCATCGTGGAGCTTTATGGTACCCTAAACCTTCCACGACTCTCTCAAGTAAAAGGTCCAAGGAAGAATAGTCCTTTGGGCTGGATCGTCCATTTTGGTGGGTAATTCTGAAACACTCGCAACAAAACTCGCTCTGTAAGTGCTCCAAATCTGTTCCTTTTTTAGTTTAAGCATAACGTCAACTATTAATAAGATAACCATACCAATTTTGAAATTTTGTAGGTCGTAGATGATATAAAATGTGAACACATGCTGACCACTTCAACGAGCCGAGCATTTTTTTTCAGGCTATCACGCGTTGAGTTCGGCACTGCCTACAACGCTACTCGTGGAGAACATCTGTTGGGCCATATCCGCAGTGAACGTGTATCCGGCACTCACCGTCATATCACAAGTGTTGTTATCCAATGAACCACCGCCGGAAGTCGTGTCTTCCGAGCATGCATACACTTTCACGCATCCCAATGTATGGGTCAGAACAATGATGGCAGACGTCAAAGCTAGATATCGAAAGGAGACAACTTGGTTATCATCGAGCTGACCGTGCCAGAAGAGGGAGGATGAAAAACTTTGGTGTATTGGCAGAACAAAGGCCAACACAAGTACCCACGAAAATCCCATTAAAAAACCACACTGTCAAGCAAGGCCCCGCATGTTCTGACCAGTGCAGTGCTTACCGGTCACGTGCCAAGGCAGATCAACCGGTGCTTAACACACCCTTCCTTCAGATTTAAGTACAAAGTGTTTCCGTCTTCACGGATGAGGCTGCGGGCTGCGTGAGTCTCGCTTAAACTCTGAGAAAACATTAAGCTTGAACTGATATCTCTGGAACCGCTGATCGAGGGCTCATGCCGTTTTCAGACACAGGAAGTTGTGCGCATATATTGACAAGTCACTGGATGATAAGTGCTTGCTCTTGAATACTATCCTCAAAGGTCGCAGTATCGCCAAAATTTCGCCTCGCCATCCGATTAACATATACAACGTAAAAGTTTCAATGTGCAAAAAAGCTAGAAAACGCGGTTTGAAACCAGAACCAGATCTTGATGCCCCAGCATAGAAGTGATCCGAAGCTGCAGATACTAACGAGGGAGTAAAATAATAATCCCGTGGGCAAACGTTAGGGTTGATGAGCATGGACGGTCAAAAGCTCTCGTGCGCAGAGTATGAGTCCGTCTGTTTTGGAACGCGGTCAATAGAACCTTTTTAAAACATGCTGGGGACTAAACTGGGATAGATCTGGCCATGAGAAGTTATGGCTACCACTCATAAAACGATCGATAGCTGTCCGATCTCTCGATGCACAGTAACCAACCAGAGTGCGTTCAATGCCACCTTTCTTAAACCGATCTCGAATGTGACGTGTTGTGGCTTAAACCGAGAGAGATTTAATCATGAAGTGTGCAATCGCGCAGCCTCTTTATTGCGACCAATATGCAAAAAAACGTGCATTTTTTAGCAGCCCGGTCACAATGGCCTAAGCCATAAGGGACCGTTCATGTGCTACGGTATGCGTTGAGGGGAGGGTCTTTGATGAAGTGTAAACAGGGTGTAGCAGAACGGGGGGGGGGGGGGGGGGCATAAAAGCGTTAGGATATACTTTGTGGTGGTTGCATATAGTCCAGAATACGTTAGAAATATCTTACAGCTTTAAAATCAGGTATCACTGGCTTTCTCTTCTGACAGGTAAGCCGCCGTGTTTTTTTCTCACGTCTCTGCTCAGTTAGCTTTCAAACCGACGTTCACTTTGTGTAACGTTACGCATAACGCAGTGAAACCAGAAAACGGTGTGTTTCGCCCAGTGTTATCGTCGCATAATCAGGGGGAGGCGTTCAAAACCGTGAAAAATGCGTAACGCAATTTACTGGCGAGCCGTAGGTAGGTAATTGCAAACTAATCTATTTCAAACAAAAATGTTATGACCATACACATGGCCAATCTTTTTCAAGCATTGTAGTTTGTGACCCAACAAGCGAATGCCAAATCAGAATGCCTCCACTTGCTAAATTTTCGTCCGTTAGCCTCTCTAAGGGACTGGCCATATTCGTTGAAATAGAATGCCGACGGAGACTGGCTCTTTTAGCTCATTTGCTGGTATTCTCCACGTGATTACAGCTTGCATCTGTTATCGTTTCTGTCGTCCTTCACCGGCCAAAGCACCTGACTGGTTTTCTGATGCCGTACATCCGACTGCCCAATTCTCAGTCCGATGGCAACACGGAACACTCAGCCATAACACTGAACGTGCTGACTTGTCACACGTCATGAGTTTCTCAGCCAAAACGTGTGCAACTACAACTAAATTGACAGAAAAAGAGATACTGTGTGACTTACATTGACATCATGTATCATTTTTGCTTCTCTTGATCTTGATTTTTCCTGACGCCTCGACCTTGTAATCCCGTGACTTGAGATAGCCGGGAGTAATATGTCACAAAAGCAGCGTCAAGATACCTTCTCCAGAACAGAATCGACTATCAGGAGATTATTTTGTGCACATACAAACTTTCTTCTTGTTCAAAATTATTATTTTTAGACGCAATCACAGCGTTTCTTTTGGAGTTAGTGTACCAAATATTTCTCGCATGATATGCCAAATTAATGACAGGTTAATTTGGTTCTTTGGACTTAGCTGCACGATTTCAGGTAAAAGTCATACCATGTAGTTCAACTCATAAAACCTTTATTGTTTCAAACCGAGGCTTCCATTTCGCATTTTGACTGCGGAGGTTAGCTGGTTTAGCAAAGCGCGGTATCTTCTAAGTTTATAAAGAGCTCTGCAACAAAGCTTGGATACAAAATCCCGATGAATTCACTTGAAGGCATCTAATTCAAATTGCCTTTGTATCTTTTTTTTCGTATGTAGCTGTCAAGCCGTGCAACCTGCAAAATCATGATTATAAAACAACTGCCCTTAAATTTATTGCCGTGCGTCCCATATACTTAAAATGACAGAGAGGTTAGAAATATACTTTTCAACCTTTTATCATGCAAGGTTCCCAAAGTCAAACACAGCTAAAGGAAGCCACTTTACGTTTTAAACAACTAATGTAATCAACTCTTTCGCCGTTTCGTACGAGTAATAAACCACCGAGGAGTGATACAGCATGAGCTCGCAAAAGTGGCCGAGGCCTGCTAACTGTAACTTTGAGAGTTCGAAATCTCATTGGTGAAGTAGGAGCACCAGATTACGTTCTGAGCATAGTCGCACCAAAATCTGAGTGAGAGGGTTCATTTGTCTATTTCATCGGTCATTATGGGTTGAAAAGCACTCCCTGGCCCACATGTGCTACACGCACTACATGGCTCGTGAAGCCGGGCACCCCAGGCGTGCTGCTGCGTGACTCGAGCTCCGGAGTCGGTCTCCACCGGCCGTGGTGAGTTCGGTCTGTGTGTCATGGCTCGTGAAGCCGGAGACGCCCGGCGTGCTGCTGCGTGTCTCCGGAGTCGGTCTCCGGAGAGCTCCGGAGTCGGTCTCCACCGGCCGTGGTGACTTCAGTCGTGAGCAGGCCAGGTGACTCGGGGATGACTCGCACCGCCGAGTGTACTCAGAGCCTCAGCTCAAGCCATCGGCGAGCTTGATAGAACAGTTAATGTTCAACAGAGGACATCATGATTATTCTCTTGCAAATGGTGCAGGCTGTATTTTGATGTCACTTCTTGGCAAATAATTTCAGATGTAATGTGTCATGTTTCACAGGGTGTGTCAAGAGTGTATCCTTTTTTGTCCTGCACGATGTGTCCTGTTTCAGTGGATAGTGTATGTAACATGATTTAAGGCGATTAGATACTTGCAACCGATTTCACAGCAAGACTGCATAAGCTTCGCCTTGGTTTTTGGACCACTTCAGAACAAATTTGGGACGTGTTTGAGCGCGGTAGTACAATTTTGACTACATTAGCTAACGTCATTTTCTACACATTTTGAAGAAAACCATACCTTATCAACTCGAAAACTAATTATCTATTACATTTTTCTCAATATCATGTTGATTAAATCTTGCTCAAAAGTGACCCTGAGCGTTTCTTTTTCGGTGGAT